CCCCCCCTTCCCTTTCGCAAACGAAAAAAGTTGGACAGAGTCACTGTGGAATTTCCTCTTCCTCAAGAGTTCAAGCATGGTCAAAGCGTTGCAAAGAAACGGGAATGAACAAGCTGGTGGCAAAAAAAAAGCCGGGGCGTGTCGAGCAGCAGCAAGAACTTTTTGTTTTTTTTTTTTCTCTTTTTCCACACACGCACACGCACACACACGTCCCAAAAAAATTTTGTCATTTTCCAACATTTCTTCTTTTTTCCTGGGGGAGAGAAAAAAAGGCTCATGGCTGGCTGGCTAGCTTGCACGAATGGCATCTCCTTCTCGCATCCGTCAGACGGATGGACGTTTCTTTTTGCATCTAAGAAATTTTCAATCTAGCATCATCTTCCACATCGCTCGCTTCTGCCGCTGCGTTTTCGAGAACAGCAAAGGCGAAGAAGGAGAGTAGATGTGCGTTGGACAGCAGATCAGAGCAAAGCAAAAAAAAAGGGCAAAAAGAGGCTCGCTTTGGAAAATAGCGAGCCCTAAGCGCCAATGTTGACCTCGTGCTTTGCCTTGTACTCGCTGTCCTCGTTAAACACGTTGATGTTCCAAGGATAGTCGATGGGAATGTTGAATCGCGCATGACCGTGCTCTTGAATCAAGCTTGAAACCTCCTCGAACTGCTCTTGGCTGAGCTTAATCTGCTTAAAGTTGCTAATGATCGCAAGAAAATGATTTGGGGGGCCGCGGTAAGGATTAAGTTTCGCTCTTGGGGGGCACAGTGCCATTTCGAAGCGCGAACTCACTTTTCGATACGAGACGGGTTGACGCTCTTGGGAATGACAGAGTAGCCGCGTTGAATGCCCCAGGCGAGCAGCACCTGTCCAGCATCCACACCATGTTCCTTGGCCACCTTTTGCACCTGTTTCGATCCCAAAATATCAACTCCGTTCTTGCCGTAGCCACCAGGATTACCGAATGGCGAGTATGCAGTGACGTGAATGCCCTTGATCTTGGAGTACTCTACCAGATCCTTTTGAGGCAGCAAGGGATGCAGCTCGATCTGATTCGCTGCGGGCACAACACCGGTAGCTTTGACGATACCTTCGATGTGAGAAGGGATAAAGTTGGAAACTCCAATCGACTTGACTTTGCCCTTCTTTTGCAAGTCGATCAAGCCTTTCCAAGTGTCTACCAGCGTCGTCTTGAGATCCAACGTGGCGAATGCGTCGCCCTTGCTGTTCTTTTCCTCGCCCTTGGGAACCAAGTTGGTCACGTCGTCGCCAGAGTCTAGAGGGACGGGCCAATGAATGAGGTAGAGATCCAAATAGTCTGTACCCAACTCTTTGAGCGTGTCGTCCAGACCCGCCTCGATGAGGTGAGGCTTGTGAACATTGTTCCACAACTTGGAAGTGATGAAGAGATCCTCGCGCTTGACGACGGATGGGATCAGCTCTTTCAACGCCTCTCCAACTTCGTGCTGATTCTGGTAGATCTTGGCAAGATCCAGGTGGCGGCTGATCGACGCCGCAGAAAGGTCAGAGCGTGCGCACATGTGGAGGATGTTTCGAGCGGGCAGCGAGCGCACTCACTAGCCAGTCTTGACCGCATGCACCACCGCCTTCTTGACCTCTCCGGGTGGGGAGAGCCAAGTGCCGAGGCCCACAAGAGGGATCTTGTTGCCGTCATTGAGCTGTTGGGGG